TGAATGGATCAGTTTTTATTGTAATCTGGCATCTATCCTTTTCCCACCTGACTTTACATGGCTAGGCCTAATATCATGAGAGAGACAGCTGGTTGCTCTGTCACTTTTGCTAGCTGGAATGTTAAATCTTTAAATCACCCAGTGAAATGTAAATGGTTCTTTCTCATTTAAATCACCTTAAAGTAGGTATCGCCTTTCTTCAGGAGACACATCTACGTATTTTCAACTACTCATTTAAAAGGAGGGTGGATCGGTCAATCATATCATTCCAATTTTCATTCTAAAACTAGAGGAGCAGCCATTTTAATTAGTAAATGTCAAGTGTAGAGGCAGACTCAGCAGGCCGTTTTAATTATTGTAGTACGAAGACTGTATAATACACCTGTTATCTTGGCTAACATTTATGCACCAAATTGGGATAACAGTTCATTCTTCACAAATGTATTTTCTCGATTACCAAATATGGACACACACCACCTAATACTAGGTGGTGATATGAATTGTGTACTGTCACCCAATCTGGATCGTAGCTCATCCTATTTCCGACTTCAATGTGGGACAAGACAGGGATGTCCTCTATCCCCTCAGCTGTTTGCCATCGCAATTGAGCTTTTAGCCATAGCAATACGTAATAACACCACTATCAAAAGGTATTCGAAGAGGGGTCTTAGAACATAAAGTTTCACTCTATGCAGATGACAAGCTATTATATATGTCTGATCCTTTAACTGGTCTTGCAGAGATCCAGGTTCTACTAAAGACATTTGGTAAAATATCTGGGTATAAGGTTAATCTACAAAAAATGCAAACTTATTTTAGTCATGTGACTACACAGAAATTGAAATAAGCCAATTTCCCTCCCTTGATACTCTGCCTGAAGCAGGATCTTGAACGCTGGGATTTACTTTCTCTTTTTTTGGGCGGAAGAATTAACACTGTTAAAATGAACGTATTACTTACGTTTTTATACTTCAACGTATTCCTATCTTTCTGACAAAATCTTTTTTTATCTCCATAGATAAAAGCAGATATCAGTTTATCTGGAACAAGAAAAACCCTTGGATACATAAGAGCGTATTGCAGAGATCACGTCCGCAGGGTGGTCTAGCACTTCCAAACTTTCAATATTATTACTGGGCAGCTAATATAAGAATCACTCGATATTGGATAACAAAAATTCCTGATGTTACAGGCCCGAAATGGTTGACCTTGGAGATCTCATCCTGTGGCCCCACCTCCTTAGCTGCCTTACTCTGCTCAACTTGCATTAGCTGAGCCTGTTTCCAAATACACTAAAAACCCTATTGTGAAACATTCTCTAAACATCTGGAAACGGTTCAGCCGATCGTTTGGTCTCAGTGAAATTTCAAGTTCTGCCCCATTATTAAAGAACCATACATTCTCTCCATCATTATTAGACCAGGCGTTTCATATCTGGTCTGGAAAAGGGATCTCCTCACTGACCGACTTGTACATTGATATGGATTTTGCATCTTTTGAACAGTTAGTACAAAAGTTCAATATTCCTAGATCCCATTTCTTTAGATGCCTGCAAATGCGTAGTTTTGTATCTTCATACTCTAGTCACTTCCCATCACGCCCACCTACCTCCCTTCTAGATTATATTTTTAAAAGTGAACCCTTATATCAAAGGGGGCATAAGCTTAATCTATACGTTATTAAACTAGCACAATCTGAATTCCATGAACTCTCTTAAGAACCAATGGGAAGAGGATGTATGTGAACAACATTCAGACGAAACTTGGCAGAGTATGCTTCAGAGAATATATTCTTCATCTAGCCTATATGTCTAAGACATGCTGTAATTCAATTTAAAATAGTTCATCGGCTGCATTGGTCAAAGGCAAAATTATCCAAGATTAGACCAGAAATACATCCCAATACATCCCTTTTTTTTTTTTTTGAAGTTTTCTAAGATACTGGAGAGACCTATAGAACCTTCTGCCTTTATTGCATTATTCGGAGTGGCACCACAGGAGGCCGCTCTAAACGGTTATATTGGCAACATGCTGGCATTTACCACTCTTCTAGCTAGACGTCTTATACTTTTTAAGTGGAAGGATCAGTTTCCTCCTACTTTTAACCATTAGATAAAGGAAGGTATGCTACATCTTAAGCTAGAGAAAATATGCTACTCCGTTAGGGGATCTGCAATTACATTTTATAATATCTGACATGGACCCAGCTAATTTCACAACTCCATAAACCAACCCAAATTTAGAATTTTTATCATTAGTTCTTTTTTTAAAACTATTTGATTATATTACTCATTGAATGTCATGCCTGCTTTCAGTCTGGTTTTGAGGTGGGGCTCTGTTAGAGCATGGGGGGGTTGGGGGGGGTTTGATTTGGTAGGGGATCCGTGTGTGTTCTGCCCTCTACCTGTTCTGTCTGTATAATCATAAAAAATGCCAAATTTTTTTAAAAAACGTTGGAGAGAAAAAGCTATTGTTGTAGACGAAATAATGAAAATGGCTGTCTGGTAGCCTCAATAAATAGACAAAGATTTGTAGTTGAACAATTCATTGCATGTATAGATTTAAAAAAGAACTTGACTTCAGACTTGACTTGAAAAAAACTTGTGACTCGACTTGACTCAAGGCTTGACCTGTCCTACTTGGGACTCGACTTGAGACTCTGACCTTGTGACTTGAGTATAAATCATGTCAAATTACTTATATTAAGCAAATCAGACCGCACCATTTACTTGTTTTTATTTTATTTTACGGATAGCCAGGGCACGCTCCAACACTAAGACAGAATTTAAAAGCGAAGCATTTGTGTTTAGTGAGTCTGCCAGATCAGAGGCAGTAGAGATTACCAGGGATGCTCTCTTGATAAATGTGTGAATTGCACCATTTTTCTGTCCTGCTAAGCATTCAAAATGTAACTACTACTTCTGGGTGTCAGGGAAAATATATGGAGTAAAAAGTACATAATTTTCATTGGGAATGTAGTGAAGTAAAAGTTGTCCAAAATATAAATAGTAAAGTACAGATACCCCAAAAAACTAATTAAGTAGTACTTTCAAGTATTTTTACTTAAGTACTTTACACCACTGGGAGGAGGGAGCGGTGTGGGTGAGAGAACAAGATTGTCTGGTCTGATGAAACCAAGATTGAATTCTTTGGCCTGAATGCCAAGTGTCACGTCTGGAGGAAACCTGGCACCATCCCTACGGTGAAGCATGGTGGTGGCAGCATCATGCTGTGGGGATGTTTTTCAACGGCAGGGACTGGGAGACAAGTCAGGATCGAGGCAAAGATGAACAGAGCAAAGTACAGAGAGATCCTTGATGAAATCCTGCTCCAGAGCACTCAGGACCTCAGACTGGGGCGAAGGTTCCCCTTCCAACAGGACAACGACCCTAAGCACACAGCCAAGACAACACAGGAGTGGCATTGGGACAAGTCTCTGAATGTCCTTGAGTGGCCCAGCCAGTGCCCGGTCTTGAACCCGATTGAACATCTCTGGAGAGACCTGAAAATAGCTGTGCAGCAACGCTCCCCATCCAACCTGACAGAGCTTGAGAGGATCTGCAGAGAAGTATCTGAGAAACTCCCCAAATACAGGTGTGCCAAGCTTGTAGCGTCATACCCAAGAAGACTCGATGCTGTAATCGCTGCCAAAGGTGCTTCAACAAAGTACTAAGGGTCTGAATACTTATGTAAATGTGCTAAATCATTATTTTTTAAAATTTCTATAAAACGGTATTTGCTTCGTCATTTTGGGGTATTGTGTGTAGATTTAATTATTTTAGAATAAGGATGTAATGTACAAAATGTGGAAAAAAGTCAAGGGGTCTGAATACCTTCGCCTCTCCCGAGTCCATACGGGAGTTGCAGCGATGGGACAAGACTGTAACTACCAATTGGGGAGAAAAAGGGGTAATATATTTATCATTATTTTTGGCACTTTTTACCCCTTTCTTCCCAATTTCGTGATATCCAATTGGTAGTTACAGTCTTGTCCAATTGCTGCAACTCCCGTACGGCCTCGGGAGAGGCGAAGGTCAAGAGCCATGCATCCTCTGAAACACGACACTGCCAAGCCGCACTGCTTCATGACACACTGCTCGCTTAACCCGGAAGCCAGCCGCACCAATGTGTCAGAGGAAACACCATACAGCTGGCGACCGAAGTCAGCGTGCATGCACCTGGCCCGCCACAAGGAGTCGCTAGAGCGCGATGGGACAAGGACATCCCAGCCGGCCAAACCCTCCCCTAACCCGGACGACGCTGGCCCAATTGTGCGCCGCCTCATGGGTCTCCCCGTCGCGGCCGGCTGCAACACAGCCCGGGATCGATCTCGGATCTGTGGTGACGCCTCTAGCACTGCGATGCAGTGCCCTAGACCTCTGTTCCACTGGGGAGGCCTGAAACAATATTTTCTGACTGGACATTCTGTGCTGCTTTGGTGGAATTCTCCGCTTGTATTCCTCTCATGCTTTCTTTTACATATTTATTGAAATAGGCTATAGAAAATAAGAATATGCAAATTACTCTGAATGTTACTCGTGCTGCTCTGCACTGCCCTGCTCTGCCCAACTCGGTTCATTACTGTGCGGCGCCAGTCAAGTTCAAATAGGCTAAACCATCGACCGTCACATCACGATGTCGTCACCGTCGACAATGGCTGTCCGTCATCGTCGATAGACGATAGTATCGTAATATCGCCCAACTCTATCATGTACTATAATAACTCTAACAACCAGATCAAAATTCAGAATAATTAAAAACATAGCAAGGTAGATAAATGTAGACAAGGAGTATTTGGCAATGGAAAGTGTACCCTGAACCAACTCTAAGGGGCACAATTGTACTCACTTGCAACTTTGGACCCTTTCCCCACAATATATATATTTGTTCTTCAAAGGCCAAGCCTGGTTGAGGAGTCATACTAGAGCAGCTAGATTGGCCAGAGCGGTGATTAGACTTGACACATAACAAGGTTAGGGTGTGTGGACTGTGGAGTCAAAGATGGAGGCCTATAATCTGTCAGATGGTAAACAACAATAAAGCAATAGAAATAGACCCACACCTCTGTTTTGCTTAGATGGTCGACTTCCATGGCTCCGTTTCTCTCTCTAACCCTCTGTGTATGACATGACAATTGGCTACGTTTTGCTATCTAGGCCTAATCTGTTAACTCACACACATTAAAATGGTTATTTGATGGAGCTGTAATTCAATCTAGCTCACACAATCCTTCTAAAACTATGGGACTGTTCAGATAATCAATAATTGAGTTGATCCTTTCAGTGGTTAATGATTGGTAGTCTCTCGTTACCATTCTCCAAAGTCTCACAAGAATTAACATACATGCAGGAAGCATGGAACGGAGGCTAAATGATTGGTAACCGCATGCTTGAGTGGGCTATAGGGAGTGTTAGTGAAGCTGGTGGTAATGCCTTCAGGTAGGCCTAGTTGTAGTAGCAGGGGAAATATTTGTATGTCAGTTGATGTCACTGACATGTCAATAGTTTGGTATGCTAGCTAGCCTATGTTTAGAGAGTAGCCTAACCTAGGAAACAAAAGCAAGCTGAAGCCACAGGACAGTAAGACATTAGGCAAATTAGTTGTAGCATTTTTGGTCACAAATGGAGCAGGCAAATAGTGTGTACTTTCAGCATTTTTTATTAAACCTGGCTGGAGGTCCAGATGGGCTCAATCAAGCAGAGCTGAAATAAAGGCTATGAAAGAAAAAAAAATACAGATTGAACCGTAGCTCTAGTTTATATCCCTGTAATATGGATATCTTCCATACAGGAAGGTACTGTCCGCCCACACTCATTGAAACTCAACGCCATTGAGATGTGTATATATTGTTGAGTTTAGTCAGCTATTTGAACCATGTCTGAAATGAGTTCTAGGGAGGTTCAAGGTGTCACAAAATAAGATGTGATCCAGAAATCTACAAGCTATGCAGTAAAACCATCTTATCACATCTAAGATGCTTCACAGCATGTCTCATCTCAATTAAATACATATTGTAAGCTTGTGTAAGCCTTATTGTAAGCCTATACAAGGTCTCCTAGTGAATACAGAGTTAAACAAACCCAATAAAATGAACGTTATATTTTGTATTTCCTCTTGCCGTGCTATAGGTTTATTCTGCTCCATTAGTATTCCCACCCCACATATCCTCTCACAGTCGCCTCTCCTTCCTCTCCTCTTGCATCCAGCTGCTCTGCAGGCCTTGAAACGGAAGAAGCGGTACGAGAAGCAGCTGGGCCAGATCGACGGCACGCTGTCCACCATTGAGTTCCAGAGGGAGGCGCTAGAGAACGCCAACACCAACACCGAAGTGCTGAAGAACTTGGGCTTTGCTGCCAAGGCCATGAAGGCAGCCCATGAAAACATGTAAGGGCCACCGCCGCTTCTGTTTCACAAATGCTCCATGAAAGACACACACACACACACCTCCAAGAATGCAACAGAGTGCCTCTGTTGACCCAGGCCCACATTGTTCTCTTTCACATTTGTCTAGTAAAAAGCATGAGGTGACGCACACCCAAAAATGTTTGTAGAGGTGCTGACTAACAGAGAATAGAAAGAAAGTCACACACTATATACAGTGCATTCGGGAAGTACTCAGACCCCTTGACCTTTTCCACATTGTGTTACATTAGCCTTATTATAGAATTGATTAAATTGTTTTTCCCCCCTCATCAATCTACACACAATACCCCATAATGAGAAAGCAAAAATACGTTTTTAGAAATCTTAGCAAAAAATTAAATAATAAAACAGAAATATCACATTTACATAAGTATTCAGACCCTTTACTCAGTACTTTGTTGAAGCACCTTTGGCAGCGATTACAGCCTCGAGTCTTCTTGGGTATGACGCTACAAGCTTGGCACACCTGTATTTGGGAAGTTTCTCCCATTCTTCTCTGCAGATGCTCTCAAGCTCTGTCAGGTTGGATGGGGAGCGTTGCTGCACAGCTATTTTCAGGTCTCTCCAGAGATGTTCGATCGGGTTCAAGTACGGACTCTGGCTGGGCCACTCAAAGACATTCAGAGACTTGTCCCGAAACCACTCCTGTGTTGTCTTGGCTGTGTGCTTAGGGTCGTTATCCTGTTGGAAGGGGAACCTTCGCCCCAGTCTGTCCTGAGTGCTCTGGAGCAGGTTTTCATCAAGAATCTCTCTGTACTTTGCTGCGTTTATCTTTCACTCGATCCTGACTAGTCTCCCAGTCCTTGCTGCTGAAAGACATCCCCACAGCATGATGATGCCACCACTATGCTTCACCGTAGGGATGGTGCCAGGTTTCCTCCAGACATGTCGCTTGGCATTCAGGCCGAAGTGTTCAATCTTGGTTTCATCAGACCAGAGAATCTTGTTTCTAATGGTCTGAGAGTCCTTTAGGTGCCTTTTGGCAAACTCCAAGCAAGCTGTCATGTGCCTTTTACTGAGGTGTGGCTTCCGTCTGGCCACTATACTATAAAGGCCTGATTGGTGGAGGGCTGCAGAGATGGTTGTCCTTCTGGAAGGTTCTCCCATCTCCACAGAGGAACTCTGGAGCTCTGTCAGAGTGACCATCGGGTTCTTGGTCACCTCCCTGACCAAGGCCCTTCTCCCCCGATTGCTCAGTTTGGCCGGGCGGCCAGCTCTATGAAGAGTCTTGGTGGTTCCAAACTTCTTTCATTTAAGAATGATGGAGAACACTGTGTTCTTGGGGACCTTCAATGCTGCAGAATTTTTTTTGTACCCTTCCCCAGATCTGTGCTCGACTCAATCCTGTCTCGGAGCTCTACGGACAATTCCTTCGACCTCATGGCTTGGTTTTTGCTCTGACATGCACTGTCAACTGTGGGACCTTATATAGACAGGTGTGTGCCTTTCCAAATCATGTCCAATCAATTGAATATACCACTGGTGGACTCCAATCAAGTTGTAGAAACATCTCAAGGATGATCAATGGAAACAGGATGCACCTGAGCTCAATTTCGAGTCTCATAGCAAAGGGTCTGAATACTTATGTAAAAAGGTATTTCAGTTTTGTATTTTTAATAAATGTGCAAACATTTTGAAAAACCTGTTTTCACTTTGTCGTTATGGGTTATTGTGTGTAGATTGATGAGGGAAAAAATTATTTAATCAATTTTAGAGGAAGGCTGTAACGTAACAAAATGTGGAAAAAGTCAACCTGTCTGAATACTTTCTGAATGCACTGTATCAGGGATTCTTGAAAGTAGGGACAATCCTTGTCAGGGAAACGTAATTGTGTATAGTTAATCAAATGGATTTTGTTGCATTATGATGATTTGTTACATTTAGGGGAATTTTATGAGGGGAAAGATTTAGCTTTTGGAATTTAAATATTTTAAATATTAGTAATTTACATGTCAGCTCTATGCCCGGAAATGCCCTTGTCCAGAGCAAAGGATTCCAATTTCAAACTCTTCCCCCCCCCCCCCCCCCCCCCCCCCCCCAAAAAAAAAAAGTATTAAAAAAAGTTTCAATAATGAATATTAACTGAAAGAAATCTTATGTAGTTTCTTGCAATAGCTCTCTCTGTCAGGAGATTTGGTCAACTCCATAAGATTTGTCTAAAAACCTAAATTAATCAGAAATTAACAGGGTCAGTTAAATTTGCTGGACCCCAGGAAGAGTAGCTGCTGCCTTGCGTTCTGCCTACAACAAAATCTCTTGAATAGCTCGTTTTGTTTCAAGATGTTGCATTGAAAGTGGCTAATATTGTGTTGATTCGATCACAATTGCCACAGTAAAGGGAAACGTTGATAGTGTTAACAGGGAAAACTCTAGAAAAGTGGTCACCAACCTTTTCTAGATCACTTTGAGTCAAAATGCAAGCAGAGATCTACCGCTCAGATTTTTTTTTAAACATGACTTAAACAACGTAAGCCTATGCAACATTAACCAATTATAAACAGTCCTGTAGCAATGAGGTTTGTGCAGTAAGCTATAGGCCCAATACATTATCACCGCATATTGGCTTTGCTTGAATTGCCCTGCCAATGAATGCATTGTTGTTCGGGCCATTTAAAAACAATTATATTTCCAAATTTGAGGTAGTCTATATGATCACACTGGTAATAGATTTGTTGTTGTATTACTTGTGAAGCACAGCTGAGTGAGCATACGTTTAAATAATTTGCTTTTTATTTGACTGGGCTGATGGTGCCTGCATCTGATAGTCAGTCTCAGCGGAGGGAGAGAGCAGCACACTGAGGGGTCCGCCTCTCAACATCCCTCCGCTCTCCCTTTCCTCCACTGACACGGACCAAAAAGGGACACCGTCTTCCAGCTGATGGCGAAACTCGAGTCGCACCGCATTATTTCTTCCTCATGCACAAATTCATGTTGTTACTCCTATTAACAGCGAAAGTGAAATATTCCTCGATATTAAAAGACCCAATATATAATAATGACAACAACGCAAGCCTATAGATACACTTTCCTATTCATTCATTACTGCTGCAGTGCTTGTTGTATTTTGTATACTCTGTGTGCCTTCAGAAAGTATTCACACCCCTTGACTTTTACAAAGTGGGATTAAAATAGATTTAATAGTCATTTTTCGGTCAACGATTTACACAAAATACTCTGTCAAAGTGGAGGAAAAATTCTAACATTTTATAAAGAAATTATGAAAAATAAAACGCATATCTTGATTAGATAAGTATTCACCCCCTGAGACAATACATGTTAGAAAAATCTTTGGCAGCGATTACAGCTACGAATCTTTTGGGCTTAGGCTCTAAGAGCTTTGCACACCTTGGAAAGAAGACTGAACCAGGTTTTCCTTTAGGATTATGCCTGTGCTTGATGGGGTAGTCAAACCACTATTATTGAGTCCATGCAACTTTATTATGTAATTTGTTAAGCACATTTTTACTCCTGAACTTATTTAGGCTTGCCATAACAAAGGGGTTGAATACTTATTCGCTCAAGACATTTCAGCTTTTCATTTTTTATTAATTCTGAAAAATTTTCAAACAAAATTCCACTGACATTATGGGGTATTGTGTCTGGATCCGTGACAAACAATCTCAATTTAATCAATTTCAAATTCAGGCTGTAACACAACAAAATGTGGTACAAATAAAGGGGTATGAATACTTTCTGAAGGCACTGTAGAGTATGCGACTTTATTTCTTTTTATACTTCACATTTGTGACAGCATTTTATTACATTATTTATAATGCAAAGTGACTAACACAAATTTCTGCAGTGAGGTTGATTTTCATTTCCCATATCTCTATCCTAAATCTTTTCAATGTAAATGTTTTGGAATTTCATCATTGCAGCTCATGGTGTAGTAATGTCATAAATGGCTGGTGCTAGAAAATCTTTCAGAATACCACTATTATTCTTTCCCTAATTTGCTATGAATGATTTCCATTACAAATGAAATGGTCTTTTTTATTTTTGCCCACAGGGACATAGACAAAGTGGACGACTTAATGCAGGACATCACAGAGCAGCAGGAGCTGGCACAAGAAATCTCTGACGCTATTTCTAAACCCGTAGGGTTTGGAGAGGAATTTGATGAAGTAAGCTAAAGCTAAGAAGCTGAGTGGGCATGTTTCAATGTTTCCCATACCGAATGGTTAGTGCAATTCGAAATCCTTGGGACGTCCCTTCCCTAAACCCTAACCTTAACCATTAAAATGTCAACTTCAATGGGGTAGGGACGTCCCAAGGATCCCGGATAGCAAGGACCCGTACCGAATCAATCAAACTGCAGTCATCTGTCGTTGTTGTTTTAAAATGTATCCTTATCTTCTTTGGATATATAGACCTGTCTAGCCCTTAATGACGTTTCCTTTCTTTGTTTAGGATGATCTCTTGGCAGAATTGGAAGAACTGGAACAAGAGGAACTAGACAAAAACCTGCTAGAAATCGCCAGCACAGAGAATGTACCGCTGCCAAATGTACCCTCTACATCCCTACCTGCAAGACCAGCAGGTAATGGATATATTGGCTTAGCCACTCAAGCTTAGCCAGCTGTAAAGCTAATGTCTCTTAAGATCACTGTCAGAAATTAAATTTACAATTGCAATGCCTTTGTTTATAAAATATTGTCTGTGGAGAGGAGGGAGGGAGAGAGAGCATTCAGCCCACATTTTTTGTTAAAATGCACACAAAAACTAAAATAATTTGGTGCGACCCCGGCGCTACCCAACATGAAACACTGAAAAGTCAATGTAATTGTCATCAGACATATGCTACCTCAATCTTTATTTATAGGCAGATTGAAAAATCTTTCTAGCTCTATTAAATGAATGTGGTTCGTTCTTACAGTACAGAAGAAGCAAGAGGAAGACGAGGACGACATGAAGGATCTGGAGGCATGGGCCGCCAACTAGCCACTGCTGTTACTCCATAGCTGCTACAGGTGGAAAAGAAAGACTCTATGGTTTAGTGTGATGTGTTTGTATTTGAGGAAGGAATAGGGAAACTCTATGAATAAACAGACTTTAAAAAAAATTATGGACAAAAAATCAACTTGACAACCTTTCGCTTACTGTCAAGCTCAGCCTCCTATAGAGGGACAATGGCATGTTTTACCTTTGACAACCAAAAGTCCCAAATCTCTGGAGCAACCAAACAGAAAAAGCTAATTAGAAATGTGTTTTTTTCTGTACGTCCCTCATTCTCTTCTGTAAAGCATTGCTGCACTCCCTCCACCCCCCCCTTCTCTTAGCCCACATAATATATTTTGAAGTGAAAGTATAAAATGACTCCTCAGACTAACTTCCATGTAGAATTTCTAATACCTCATACCGTTAATGTGTAGTGCAACAAGATATTACAATATCCTGTATTCATTTTTGTTGTTCATGCACAATATCGGTGTCGTGTTCAAATGGCAATCAGCTGTTCTTGAATCCGTTTATTAAAATATGCACTTATAATATATCTATTGTACATTATATTTATTAATAGCAATTTCCAGCGTGGAGAATTTGATTCCCATTTTTAGGGCTATTGGTGTTTGGGTTAAATTTGCTTTTGGCTGGATTTATTGAACTATATCATGAATATCCTTCCAGATACTTTGGCTTTCAAACAGGCAATTATCTATGAGGGAAACTCCACACAGTGTCCTTGAAATTCTTCTCTGGGCGATGGTTCACACGGTTACGTATCTTTTGAAGTGAATGAATCTAACCTAACCTCCAACTAGTTACATTTTGCAAATACAATTACATTTCTCTTGAAATATGTTTCTACTATATCTGTTCTGGTTTGTGCAACTGAAGTGACTGTGCCCTTCTATGAGTGTGTTTGTTCATTTTCATCTTTAAGAGACATTAACACTAGAGGAGGTTTAAAAAAAAATGTTTATTAGGGTGTTTGGGCTTTTCAGAGTTTTATGATATGCTGTTGTGTATAGGAAGATCATTAATTGATTGTATTCAGACTCCAGGCAGTCAGGTTTATTTAACATCATGGCTTTTCTGAGTTTGTGAACTTACCCCACTATTTTATAGTTCACCGTGCTGCTTCAGATGTTTTCAAATTTCCTCCCAAATGTATTTTTTCTGTTTTAAATTTAACTAATGTAGTATGACAGCATTATGTTATGTCTGACATGCTCTGATTAGGTTGTGTGTGTTTGTATACGGGGCTGTTTCTTGCAGTCTGGTTCCTGTTTTTGTTTGGTCTGTCTTCCTACCCTGCCTATCACAACTTGTTCTTGTTCTAATGGTATGCCTAAATTAAACCTTTTGCCAAATGACATGCTTTTTTGTTTCGTTTTATTTTTTACTAAGAATATCTGTGCATTCCTTTATCAAGTACTGTTGGTCAGAGTTCTGGCAAGAGCTTGTAATGAGATCTATACTATTGAGAGGGCCAAGGTTCATGTAATAGTAAGTGTTAGGTCAAGGGTTATGGTTGGGCAAGGGCTATTCTTAGGCCACAGTCATCTGCTGACAAAGTCTGAGATTATGTAGCATGTATAAAAAAAATTAAAAAATGGAAAAGATTCATACAATTTTTGTTTGGAATGGCATGGAACTTCAGTAGTACTGATGTTTTATTTTCTTGAAACCTTACTTTCCCCAAATGTAAATAATTGTGTTGCCCAAGTTAGAAAGTTCTAACTTTGAATAATATTATAATTAGATCCTTTGAATTGTGTGGATAACTCTCAGAGGCTACGATGCAGATTACAGGGAAGGGCTAGAGTTGGGGCACAAGTGTTAGGTCAGTCTTCCAATGAGCGTGTGCACAGCCCTAACAATTAATTTATTTGTTTGCATACCACCGTATTGCTTGTGAAAAAAGCTCTGTTTAGGCTGTCAGCTTTATAATCTTCATTAATGTAATATACCCCAAGGTATCATTTTGGGTAACACTTCCTTTGAAGGTTGCATACATAAAGCAGAAATAACACATGACACACTCATGAAGGTTTAAGTGACATTCATAAAGCCCTTCAATAAAGCATCCATGTCATTATTTCTGTAGTTGCCATGGCGCCTAGTAGCAGCCTATGCAGAGAGCTCCTGTAAGTATGTACATATATACAATTACTTGTAAGTGTTTTAATTTTTTTTTTTTTTTGTCAGCTGTTTTTGTTTTTCATAACATTGAATTTTATTGCATATTTCTGGTGGTTTTGACCCACAGATTTGCAGATGGACTGGCAGGTCAACTATTTTTGTCTTGGCTAGCTGGCTAATTGTTTTTTATTTGAATGATGCGTCTGGACACCGTACCAGCTGTTTTGTTTCACCTGGCTGCTGGTTTCTGATCTTTTGAAAACATAAATTGAAGAGTCACCTGAAGGAATGGGAAACGCAATAAACGAATGCAGTGCTGAGGCAGAGGGCCAGCCTGAATATATATATATATATATATATATATATATATATATATATATATGACTAGACGTAACATAGTAAATGTAAATATGAGACATTCAAATTAGTATGATACACTACATGACCAAAAGTAAGTTTACACCTGATCGTCAAACATCTAATTCCAAAATCATAGGCATTAATATGGAGTTGGTCCCACCTTTGCTGCTATAACAGCCTCCACTCTTATGGGAAGGCTTTCTACTAGATGTTGGAACATTGCTGCGGGGACTTGCTTCCATTCAGCAACAAGCGCATTAGTGAGGTCGGGCACTGATGTTGGCCAATTAGGCCTGGTTTGCAGTCGGCGTTCCAATTCATCCCAAAGGTGTTCGATGGGGTTGAGGTCAGGGCTCTGTGCAGGCCAGTTAAGTTCTTCCACACCGATCTCGACAAACTATTTCTGTATGGACCTCACTTTGTGCACGGGGGCATTGTCATGCTGAAACATGAAAGGGCCTTCCCCAAACTGTTGCCACAAAGTTGGAAGCACAAAATCGTCTAGAATGTCATTGTATGCTGTAGCATTAAGATTTCCCTTCACTGGAACTAAGGGGCCTAGCCCGAACCATGAAAAACAGCCCCAGACCATTATTCCTCCTCCACCAAACTTTACAGTTGGCACTATGCATTGGGGCATGTAGCGTTCTCCTGGCATCCTCCAAACCAATAATTGTCCATCGGACTGCCAGATGGTGAAGCTTGATTCTTCATTCCAGAGAACGCGTTTCCACTGCTCCGGAGTCCAATGGCGGCGAGCTTTACACCGCTCCAGCCAACGCTTGGCATTGTGCATGGTGATCTTAGGCTTGTGTGCTCGGCGATGGAAACCCATTTCATGAAGCTCCTGACTAACAGTTATTGTGCTGACGTTGCTTCCAGAGGCAGTTTTGAACTCTGTAGTGAGTGTTGCAACCGAGGACAGACGATTTTTACGCACTACGCGCTTCAGCACTCTGCGGTCCCGTTCTGTGAGCTTGTGTGGCCTACCACTTCGCAGCTGAGCCGTTGTTGCCCCTAGACATTTCCACTTCACAGTAACAGCAGGGCAGAAATTTGACGAACTGACTTGTTGGAAAGGTGGCATCCTATGACAGTGCCACATTGAAAGTCACTGAGCTCTTCAGTATGGGCCATTCTACTGCCAGTGTTTGTCTATGGAGATTGCATGGCTGTGTGCTTGATTTTATATACCTGCTGAGGCATCACCCAAGTGGGTACAATACATTGTGAAGGAGGAGGTACAGTAGCTACATGACTCAGAGTAGCCCTCTACACAATCATCACCAGACTCTTCATCAACCATTTCCCTGACCACCTTCCAGACTTGGCCTCTATTGGTTGACTTAACTATAGCTAAGCTACTCATGATGATGTATCTGTATTGCTTGTTCGTTTTTTGCTTTTGAAGCACTTTGAGATTGTTATGAAAAGCGCTATAGAAATGTAATTCATTACTATGAATTATTGTTATTAGTGACATTAGTGTTGAATATTATGTCACATTACAGGAGCCCCACTCAAAAACACATTTGTCTGAAGAGAAACATTTTCTTCGAGCGTATTCTGGCCTGGAGCACTAGGTATAACTGTCAGGTCAGAATTGGAAATGTCTTGTTTGCTGAGAAAGAAATGTGGAAGTTAATTCATGTGTTTATGTACCATATTTATTTTTTACCAGGTCAGTTTACTGAGAACATGTGCCATTGGCTTATCTTGGCACAAATAAAACACTGTAGGCCTTCCATAGAGATAGATAGAGGACGTATCTTTGTATCTGTGCAATTACAGCATCTGTGACAGCATGGGTCACCAGGAGGGATCAGACAATGAAGTTGGAAGTCCCACCCAGTTGACTACATTAAAATGGTGAAAGCCCTCAATGGCGCTGACCATGCTAATACGACCTTTTGGTCACTATCATTCTCTATGACCTGACATAACTACCTGGTGCTCCAGGAAGTATTACCTCATTTTGATCATCCATGTGTCTAAACAGCCCTTTTGTAACTTGGTTAAACATGCAGTGCTTATGCAACAGGCTTATTCAATATCATGTCCATACGTGATTGAATGAGTTTGGTTGACTCTTCCAATTGTATGATGCTGCTGCATCTGAATTGAGTCATTCAATGTGCAGTTGTGAAATAATTGGGGAGTTTGGTGTTCAATTATAGCCAGCATTGCTTCCCAACTGCCACCCTGCAAACAGTCTTTTACTTGCTCATTGTCTTTGCCAAACCTTTCACTTTTAATGTAAAAGTGAACATGAAAATATATTATGCCTGTACATAGAAGGTAATGTTTATTTTTACACCCTTAGGCTGTTTTTAAAGTTCATGAGTGCAATGTAAATTTAAGGTCAATCAATATTTAATCATGACACAGACAGTTTATGGTTGAATCATGGGTGTTGCAGTTAATTGGTGCAGTGTCATGTGATTATCCTCATGAACTGCAAATCCATTTATTCTACTGTAGACCGCCAACATACCATTGACCAACTCACCTAACTTAGCAGGCATAAAATAAATGCCTGAAACTAGATCCTCTACCTACATACTCCTCTTAAAGAGAAGGAAAAAAAAACTGTTGGGGGAGTTTATCTTCTGCACTGTTCAACCAATCCAGTAAACGTGGAGAAGGAGTTAAGATAGTGTCACCTTGTTCACAAAGATTTGTATAACTAATCAAAGATATTTTATATACTTTTTTTTATTTAACCTTTATTTAACCAGGTAAGCCAGTTGAGAACAAGTTCTCATTTGGCCAAGATAAAGCAAAGCAGTGCGATAAAAACAACAACAACACAGAGTTACATATGGGATAAACAAAACGTACAGTCAAAAACACAATAGAAAATCTATATACAGTGTGTGCAAATAGACCACAGCAAATAAACCACAGCCTGTCGTTTCCAATGGGATCAAATGAATCAAAGCAATCAAATGAATCAAAGCAACGGAGGTGGGCAGAGCCAAGCACAAGCTATCGAGATCCTATCGGCGTGTTCTAGCATGTATTTGCATATTTCCGTTAGGGAATGTCTACTCTTTGAAGTGCGTGTGCAATAACTCAATTCGCCATTGCTCTCAACACAAGTTTTATGTATTTCTTGGGCAACGGGTAAAGTCTACTAAACTTAGTCCACTCTGTTTGTAACAGATTTTAGTTTTGGGAACAGAAAACTGTATTGAGATCAAATGTTTCATCAATGAGAACATTTGTAGAATATCTGCCATCTTCTCCCACTGCTGGCCACTGGACTTCCTCTCATCAGCATATTTGGTGGTGAGTGGAAATATCAACCAGATGTTTCAGATTTATACATCTGGTGAAACCAATTAAGTACAGTGCATTCAGAAAGTATTCAGACCACTTGACTTTTTCCACATTTTGTTACGTTTCAGCCTTATTCTAATATATATATTTTTAATGTCCTTCATCAATCTAGACACAGTACCCCATAATGACAAAGCATAAACAGGTTTTAGAAATGTTTGCAAATTTATATATAAATAAAAACACTGAAATATCACATTTACATAAGTATTCAGACCCTTTACTCAGTACTTTGTTGAAGCACCTTTGGCAGTGATTAGAGCCTCGAGTGATCTTGGGTATGACGCTACAAGCTTGGCACACCTGTATTTGGGGAGTTTCTCCCATTCTTCTCTACAGATCCTCTCAAGCTCTGTCAGGTTGGATGGGGAGCGTCGCAGCACAGCTATTTTCAGGTCTCTCCAGAGATGTTAGATCGGGTTCAAGTCCGGGCTCTGGCTGGGCCACTCAAGGACATTTAGAGACTTGTCCCGAAGCCACTCCTGCGTTGTCTTGGCTGTGCGCTTAGGGTCCTTGTCCTGTTGGAAGGTGAACCTTTGCCCCAGTCTGAGGT